GTAGAAGACTGTGGACTGTGCAGTGACCCGTTTTTCATCATGCCTTGGTGTGAAGTGATTTATGTATTTGGACTTTCAACCTAAATAAAGTTGTTTTTCCTGATTAGATATTGTCTCATTAATTATATGAAGGTAGAATGACGTCAAAAAGATTTGCATACGCCGGGTAAGAGTTGTGGAAGTGTACAGAAGACTGTAAGTGTAAATTAAATTAGCATGCGTAAGAAGCTTTGTAAAGGTGTAAATTGCGTTTCAAGCATAAGAAATTATTTGCAGCATTTTACGGTTACTCTTATGTGTAAAAAACAAACTGTTGCAAATGTCTAAATGACTTGTTGTGCATGTGGGGCAAAAAGTTCCCGAAATAAACCGATATGTACAGCTCCGTCTTTTCTCTGCGCTTACAATTTTAGCACGATTCTCTCACTGAGTTTTGCAAGCGTGAGGGGGAGGGTGGGTCCACCTTTTTGTAGCCAATCAAATGAGCCTCTTGCTGGCTCCATTTACTCTTATCTGATTGGTTCAATAAACACATCATACGCCAAGACATTAATCTTCATTTAGTTCAGGATCGTTCTTGCTGCCGGAATGGTACTTTTAATTTACACGTACAGTTTAAAAAAAATTTTTTAAAACGTGCTCCTTTCATAAGCTGTGTTCCTTTAGGCTACACTCCCATGTGTTCATACTGATTTGCGAGCTGGTGTTAACATTATTTGGTTTGGCTTTACATTGAAATTTCATAATCTACTTACACCACTAAGCTAATGTTAAACTTTATAATCAAAATGTTATGTGACTACGCTCAACACTATGGTATCAGAGTGCTATACTTTGTAAAACCTTTTTACTATGACAATAAAGCTACTTAAATATGAATTTGTCCATTTTTCAGACGATGTTTCTGTTTATGGTATTTAACACATTACTTTCATGTGAATGATCAAGCTGTTATATGAAGCAAGAATGAGTAACAAAATGCTTCCTTTGTGTCCAGATTTGACTAATGCAAAAACTTTGATAAATATGTCTTTAATGTCTAAATATATATCCAAATACAAGTAACTATGTGGGAATCCAAAGTTCCGAGCCACTATAGGGAACACAGTCATGTTTATGTTTCCTGTGTGCATTGAATTTATTTAATACACGAGTTTCACAATTTGAGTTGAATTACTGAAATAAATGAACTTTTCCACGACATTCTAATTTATTGAGATGCACCTGTAGAGAGCTAAACAGCCATCTAATGGTTACACGAAAGTATTACAGATGATAAATAGTGAATAAGTTAGAGATAAATATTTGAATAAATATTTTAGTAATATTTTGTAAAATCTCCTTAAAGTACATGTTAAATAAAAAATTATTACTGTTGGTTCAATTATTATTGAACCAAATTTGTGTTT